TACATACATGTGCGTATATGTGTACATACATGTGCGTATATGCGTACATACATGTGCGTATATGTGTACATACATGTGCGTATATGTGTGCATACATATGCGTATATGTGTACATACATGTTCGTATATGTGTACATACATGAGCGTATATGTGTACATACATGTGCGTATATGTATGCATACATATACGCACATGTACACATATACGCACCTGTATGTACACATATACGCACCTGTATGTACACATATGCGCATATGTGTACATACATGTTCGTATATGTTTACATACATGAGCGTATATGTGTACATGTGCGTATATGTGTACATACATGTGCGTATGCGTACATACATGTACTTAATGCGCGTGCGTGAGGGAATGAACTTTTTATGTATGCGTGACCGACCATACATACATACACGCGTTCCCTCACCTCGACAAACGTCTGTATAACGACCGTGAGGAGCAGGTTGATGAGGACCCAAGAACTGCAGATGACGAACACGAAGAACATGACGGTGACGAACACACCGATCTCTTTCATCTCGTCGAACTGGAACTTGCCTGAAGAACAAAAGGGGGACGTTAGGGGAGGAGGAGGAGGAGGAGGAAGAGGAGGTGGCGATGGTGGTGAAATGAAATGAAAAATCAGAAGAAAAGAAAATGAAAAAAAAGAAGAAAAGGAAAAAAACAGTACATAATGAAGAAGAAACAAGAAAAAAAGAAAAATGGAGAAAAAATAGAAAAGGCAGAAGGAAAAAGAAAAAAGAGAGAAAAAATAAGTAAGCAGAAAAAGAAAAGACGAAAAAATAAATAAGCAGAAAAAGAAAAGACGAAAAAAAACAGGAGGAAAAAAGGAACAAAAAAAGAGACAAAAAAAGGAAAAAAGCAGAACAAAAAGAAAAAAGACAGAAAACAGAAAAGGCAAAACAAAAAAAAGAAACAAAGAGACAAAGAAGAAAAACCAGGAGCAAAAAAAAACGACAAAAAAACTCACCCAGAATCATACTGAAGCACGTCTCGACCGCCAACACGAGGTTGTGAAAGCCAAAGACACTGTTATTCAGTATTATGAAGAACATCTGGACGAAGGTGAAGAAGCACAGGAAGAACACCATGATGAATCCCCTCAGGTCTTCCCAGCAGAGCCTCAGGGTGGTGGAGAGAACACCTGGNAAAAAAATAGATTCGAGGGTAGAAAAGACTCACTCGAGTATCGTGTGTTGTAAGAGGGGTGTCCCTTACCTTCCCTAATGGATAGATTATAATGGAAGGATGTTTGGCGTGTCCACTTGCAATGCGACCCGGCGGGGCTGTGGTGATTTCCTTCTGTTTGAGAATAAACACGTGTATGGACTCTTGCTTAGGGGAGTGGAAGGGAGGAGAGAGGGGAAAGGGTGATGAGGGAGGAGAGAGAGAGAGGAGAGAGAGAGGAGGGGGGGGGGAAGAAGAGGTTGGAAAGAAGGAGATAAAGAAAGAAATAAGGAAAGAAGGATAAGAGGGGGAAAGGGAGAGGGAGAAATAAAGAGTAAGGGATAAGGGGAAAGGGTGATGAGGGGGGAGAGAGAGAGAGAGAGAGAGGGAGAGGGAGAGGGAGAGAGAGAGAGAGAGAGGGAGAGGAAGAGGTTGGAAGAAATAACGATATAAAGAAAGAAGGAGAAAAGGATAAGAGGGGAAAAGGAGAAGGGAAAGGGGAAAGGGTGATGAGGTAGAGGGAGAGAGAGGGAGGGAAGAAGAGGTTGAAAGAAATAACGAGGTAAAGAAAGAAGGAGAAGAGGGAGAGAGGAAGGGGAAGGGTGATGAGGAGAGAGAGAGAGAGAGGAAGAGGTTGGAAGAAATAACGATAGAAAGAAAGGAGAAAAGGATAAGAGGAGGAAAGGGAGAGGGAGAAATAAGGAGCAAGGGCTAAGGGGAAAAGGTGATGAGGGAGAGGGAGAGGAAAGAAAAGGATGGTAGAAAGAGAGAAGGATATATACATATATACATACACACACACGCACACAACACACAACAATGCACCACGCTCACACACACATGCACATAAGGAAAACCCGGAAAGGCAAAAAAAAAAAAAAAAAAAAAAAAAGGAAAGGACACGCAGAAACATAAAACGAAGTATCATAAACAAAACCCGTACCCAAGGTGTGATGTCAGCTGACCGACATCACGAGGAGGTCGGAGGCGCTGGCAAGGCATCCGCGTCTGCTTCTCGTCCCTCAATCACGGAGCGAAAGCAGTGGATGAAGCAAGGGGAAGAGTGTGGAGTTATCGGCCGGGTTTTTTTTTCTCTCTCTCTTTCTGTTTGTCTGTTTCTGTGTCTGTTTGTCTCTGTCTTTGTCTCTGTTTCTGTCTGTCTGTCTGTCTGTCTGTCTGTCTGTCTGTCTCTGTCTCTGTCTCTGTCTCTGTCTCTGTCTCTGTCTCTGTCTCTGTCTCTGTCTCTGTCTCTGTCTCTGTCTCTGTCTCTGTCTCTGTCTCTGTCTCTGTCTCTGTCTCTCTCTCTCTCTCTCTCTCTCTCCTCATCTTCCTTCTCCTTCTCTGTTTCACCATGCATCTATATATATCTCGCAGAGAAAGAGACAGAATAGAGGGAAAACGAGGATAGAACAATAAAACAAAACAAAGAATCAAACATATAAAACAGCGAGAGCAAGAGAAACAGAAAACAAAAATTGAAGACGAAATAGAAACCCGAAAGAGAGAGAAAGAGAGACATGACGGGGAGAAAGAGAGAGATCTTTTGATTTCTCTTAAAAGGAGTTTCGAGAAGTTTTGACCGAAATAAGTGTTCGACGGAAAAGGAATTTTTATATGTTGATGTTGATTTTAATGTTGTTTTTTTCATAATCTATATGGTGAAAATAGTTCTATTTATAGTATCATTAATAACAGTGATGTGCCTAATGACTTTGATGATGATTATGAAAGTGATGTTGATGATAATGATAGTAACAATATTTTTAACATGAATAATAAAGATCATGATACTAATAACGGCAATTATAATAATAAAACAATAATAATGCCGGAGTAATAGAAAAGATAACATTAATATAGAAATCATGATAATGATAATGGCAATCATTATCATTACTACTATTATTGTCCCCATTAACACTGCTATTAATATTATTATCATCGTTGTTGATAAAATCATCACTATCATTATTATCGGTATTGGTATTATCGTTATTATTCTATATGAATTTATTGTCCTTTGTATTGGTTATTGTTGTAATATAGCCACATCGAATATAATTTGGAAAAAAAAGAATTGTAAAAATAAATAAGAAGAAGAATAAGAATAACACGGAAGTCAGGAATTAAATTATCTTTACGATGATACGCGGCAGGGAAAAAATGTATTAATAGCGTAATAGACAGACAAAAAAAAAAAAAATAATAATAAAAAATAAAATAAAATAAATAAATAAATAAAAAAGTAAAGTAATGCATAAAGTTGATATTTCTTAAAAAGAAGTCAAAGCTTCCGTAGGTAGAGAAAAAATTGATAAATAATAATAATAACAATAATCAACAACATCTGAGAGTCGATCATGAGAAAATTATATACATTATCAATTATGAGGAAGAAATTGATTAAAAAAATAGTTTTCAATTAATGTGAATATTGTATAAAACATTAAGAAAAAATGTATTAACGAAAAGAGGAAGAAAAAGCATCAGGAAAATAAAAGACAAAAGAAAGAAGGGAATAAAAAGAAATAAAACAGTTAAGAAAAAAATAATGATATTAGTAACAAAAGGAAATGGATAAAAGGAAAAAGAAAAAACTGTAGATAGAAAAAGCGAAAAGAAGGAAATTGACCAATAAACGAAAGAGGAATAGATTTTAGATGAAACAAAAAGATATCAGGAAAATGCCAAGTAAAATATAAAAAAATACATAAATAAAATATAGTAGTAAACAAATATAATAGGGAAAAATACGAAAAAAAATAAAAACGGAACAAATAAAGAGAGAAGAAGAAGAAAAACAAGAAGGTGATAACGCAAAATAGATGGGAATAATGCAACACCAGAAAAATGATGAACGAGAAACGGCAATAAAAAATAATAATAAGAAGAAGAAATAATAAATAAATAAAAATAAAAATGCAACCTTGGATAACGAGAAACAAAAAGAAGATTTTGATTATTAAAGAGATTGAGAATTGGATGAAATATCGAGAATAGGAGAGAGAAGAAAAGGAACCGTGACAATGAAGGGAGGAGATAGAAGACCAGGAGAGAATGGAAAGAGATGGAAAAGGAGAAGAGAAGAGGAGAGAAAGGAAAGATATAGAAAAAAGGGGAAGAAGAGAGAAGGAAAAGACACGACATAAGAAAGGAGAAAGAAGGAAACAACGAAATGAGAGAAGCGAAAAGGAATATAGAGAATGAGGGAGAAGAAGAGTAAAGAAAAAAAGGAAAGATAATAAAAGGAGATGAGAGAGAATAAGAGAGAGAAAAAAAAAGATGAAATTAAATGTTTCCTTGAAAGATTGCAGTTACAATCATGGGAATATGAAGGGCGGGATAAAAAATAAATAAATAAAAGATAAAGAAATAAAACAATAAACCAGAAGAGAAGACATAAAGAAAATATCCAGACGCGGTGAGCGAGAAGAGAGTTGTAAACGAAGCGAAGAAAGTTAAAGAAAGGATATGAAAGAGAAAATAAAAGTGAGTGAGAGAAAATGTGAGCGAAAGAAAGAGAAAGTAAGAGAGAAGAGAGAGAGAGACGAGAAGAGAGAGAGAGAGAGAGAGAGAGAGAGAGAGAGAGAGAGAGAGAGAGAGAGAGAGAGAGAGAGAGAGAGAGAGAGAGAGAGGAGAGAGAGAGAGAGAGAGAGAGAGAGAGAGAGAGAGAAGAGAGAGAGAGAGAGAGAGAGAGAGAGAGAGAGAGAGAGAGAGAGAGAGAGAGAGAGAGAGAGAGAGAGAGAGAGAGAGAAAGAGAGAGAAAGAGAGAAATAGAGATAGAAAGAGAGAGAGAGAGAGAGAGAAAGAGAGAGAAAGAGAGAAACAGAGATAGAAAGAGAGAGAGAAAGAGATGGGCAGACAGAAAAGATAGAAAAGAAAATACACAAAAAAGAGGATGCACAAGACAAAGAACCGAACCGACAGAAGCCAGGAGAAAGCGAAAACAGAGAAAGGGGAATTATACTCAGAGAGGGGGAAAAAGAGGGGATAAGAGGGTTAAGAAAGGGAGAGAAAGATCAAAGAAATTCCGAGCACAGGGGGAGACACGCCACCCCACCCTCGAGGTAGCTTCGTGGCATTGCATAATCAACCTTATGGACGCTGCTTTCGGTACTGCGATAATGAAGGGTAGTGAGGAGGAGGGGTTAAGGGGGGAGAGGGGGGGTTGTAGTGGTTAAGGGAGGGGGAAAGGTTAAAGAAGGGGGAAGAAGGGAGGGAGGGGGGGGAAAGTTTAAAGAAGGGAGGGGGAGGGTAAAAGAAGGTGGGAAGGAGATAGGAGGGGATGAGTTAAGGGAGGGAGGGGGAGGGGAGTAGTGGTCAATAGAGGGGGAAAGGTTAAAGAAGGGAGGGGATGAGGGAA